AATTGGATCACGCTCTTACAATGTCTGTTACGGCGTGAAACATGAACAAGGGTTTCAAGATGGTGAGCCAAGAAGTTTTGTCGAACTGCCTAATAGTCACAAGTTCAGGGCAAATGTTGTGCACTTTCCGAATTTCAACCGCCCGGCAATGAAAGTTCGGTGAGACGAGGATAAATCTGCCCACGAGGAGGCGAAGAGGACGCTAAGATTTTGCCTCAGCAAAGACCACTTTCAGCCAAGCCCGACTGAACACATCTTCTCAGCAGCCTCACCAGAGGAGTTCTAATTGTGAGTGTGCCGAATGCGGGACAATGACATAAACAGAGCCAATTTTTATTGCACGAAATGTATGAAGTTCATAAGTAAGCAGGTGTTCGAGACTACCAGGAAATCAGTAATATGAGATGTATTCACCCTATTTTGCTTAAGGTGATGAAGGACTGGTAGTGGATTTTTCCCACAGTGATATGAGTAGAGCTGACGTTTACATACAGCCTTGCTTTCCCAAAAGGTGATCTCATTCAGAGTGGATTGCAGTTTCGATCTAGCATAGGTCTTATCAGCACTCCAAGCGGGAGTCGAACCATGATTGTGCAACGTAAAAGCTTAGGTTGTTGATAAGACCTATGCGAGTCCGAAACTGCAATCCACCCTGAATAAGAGCATCTTTTGGGAAAGCAAGACTATGTGACATTCAATGGAAACATCAGCTCTACTCATATCATTGTGGGAAAAATCAACTACCAGTCCTTTATCACCTTAAACGAATCAGACTTACTACAAGTCATATGTATGAATTTTATGCAACTCACAGATTTCTAAGACATTTAGGTCTGTTTGCTGCAGCGAAAGTTAGTGCAAAATGAAGTCTTCTCTTTCCTCGATCGTGAACAAGTTGGCCGTCCGTCCAATGGAAACCATTTTCGATATGAGTTATCTTTTAGCCCATCAGTAATTCTCGCATAAAAACTAACTCATATTAGATGTGTTCCCCCTATTTGGTTTAAGGTAATGAAGAACTGAAAGTAGAATTTTCCCACAATGATATGAGTAAAATTAACACTCCCATTAAATTTCGCATAGCCTTACTTCCAAAAAGGTATACCTTTCCAGGATGGGCTGCAGTTTCGACTTGGCCCAAGTCTATTCGGCACCCCCAGCGGGACTCGAGCCATAGCCACTATGCCGCATTGCCACGAGTGCCCTTGAGTCGCAGGGCAGATGTGAATTTCAAGAAAGACCAGGCAGTTTCTTGTATCAAGTTCTGTGGTGGGATTGTTGGTGACATTGAGAAGATTACTTATTTCTCGCTCTTAAGTAGGCTTTCGATTTACTGGTAGTCTCAAATAACCAAATAAAACACAAAAATCTCAGTTACCCTTGGACAGTTAAGGTGATTTAAGGATGGGTGGTTGCGCTCTTTAGCGCAAGGAGGCAAGGAGGCCTCATGATTTCACATCGAATCCTGTTCGGGGTGCTGATACCACGGTCAGGCGAAGTCCGAATAAGAATACCTTTATGGAAGCAAGGTTAAGGAGAATTCAGTGGAAATGTGGAAAAATTCACTGTCAATCTTTCACTCTCTTTAGCGACCTAGGACGACTAGGTTCTTATTCTAGCTTTGTTCTTATGTCACCTTAAATTCGCCGCCTGCTAGTGGTCCTATTGTGAGAAATCTGGTAGCCAAGCAACGCCCAACCGAAGCAAAAATGGAGAGGGTCTCACCATCGCCTTCCCAGGCAGCTTGTGCAGTTCCACATAGCGGATCGAGCATTCTGGACAGGCAGACAACGAAGAACAGGTCGAGGCTAGGCTGGAGGATGAAGAGGTGCTGAGACTTTCCGAACTGCTCCTTGTCGAGGCTTCGTTCCGCATGGCTCGAGCTGGTCAGGCAGAGATGGCACAAAATTAGGTGTCGGGCTCGACGACCGTTGAGCTCGTCAACCACGTATAGGTGATACCAGGCGTCTGTACACAAACACAAGCAACAAATGACGGCCGACGTCTAAATCTCTCCGGTGTCCATCGTCATGGGCCAAGTCCAAGTTGGAACTGGCTACTGTCGGCGGATCTGAGGATGAGTCAACGTCAGTTTGGCTATTCCATCCACGAGCAGGGCAAAGACGACATGGCTGACGGCACGGGGCTGGAGAATGTAAACACTGGATCCTTTCACATCCTGCAAACATGATCGCTAAAAAGCGTGCATCGTCTGTCCGACATCCCATTGGTTGTAAGCTCGTTTCTACCTCTTTGCATGCCTATTGGGAAGGCATGTATACATGTCTGTGTGCAAGCCTGCACACTTCGCTACATGAGTATGCTATGCTTGTGGCTGCGCTTGTTCCTGTGTCTACAGAAGGGGTATTTCCAAGCCTAGGGGATTGTGTCGTCCCTCCCCTATGGGTCAATCTTTGTGCCATGATCGCCGCTGCCACACATATTTCCATCTCTACCATTCGGTGCATGTGACGTCTGCAATACAGACCAAGAGGCGGGATGCTATCGGCATAGCCAGAACATAACCAAGACATAGCCAGGTCCATAAAGAACCATTATTGATAGCTCCCTACCAAGTGGATAACTGGAGGCATGGGGGAAAAAGGAGGAACGAAGACTATCCTATCTGGCGTAGCCAGCCATATCCACCAATCCCAGACCGTCTGTTCTCCATTCTACCATCTACTTGTTACTGTTACTTCATCCCTCTCTCCCTCATTCATCCATATGGACACAAGTGCACAAAACGCATATGTACACTAACTGTTACATACATTTACACACACACACACACACA